ATATCTAAAGTACTAATTATTCCATTTCAATGAAACTTAGTACAAAGATGCTCTAATTAGTTTGGGGTAAAAATCTGTTCATATTAATTCCCTAATAAGCATAATAATTCATAATTTTTTGGTTCTAGTCACATTTCAATTAAACTTGGAAACATAGATTTTCTGTTACATTGCGCAGACCTCATTAGTTTTACACTCAAATCTGTTCATATTAATTTTCTGATTTGCATAATTAGTTTTCAGCTAAGTAATTTCAAATTATATTTAATGTGTCTCCAATACTCTCAGCACATGGGAGTTCTTTCTAAGCTTTCTTTGATTTTGGCTGTTGCTATGGCAACGGTGGGCCAAAAAATTTTTTTCAGATTTTACCTAATAACTAGGGTGAAGGTGTGACCTACCTGCCAAGTTTGAAAGAAATTGGCCAAGCCAAAAAAATCACAGAAGAAGTCATACTTGAAAACACTGTAAATTTACACACACACACACACACACACACACACACACACACACACACACACACACACACACACACACACACACACACACACACAAAACGACAAAAGTGATTATAAGGGCAATCCTAGCGGAGCGGATCGCCAATATTTTTTGTTGTCATGTGAACAGTTTTTTTGATTGACTGTAATTTTCCAACATTTCATGACGCCCATTGTAGAACCAAATTAGGGCCTTTTACTCCTCCTTGATGCCTATTTAAACGATTATATGGCATCTTGTCGCCAGCCACAAATGTCACACTAGACTAACGTGATCGATACTGCCGACCATTCCATGCATTTTTTATCGACACGACGGCACGCAAATCGAGAAAAGTATTGTCCTTGCAACAATTTCGCGCAATACGTCACCACTATACAGTGACTGATTTTAATTTAACATTAAAACAAACTGCAGTGAGTTGTTCGATGGTCGTATAAAAATAAAATAAACTACATTAAGATACAGCAAAGTTAACCAACTAAACAGAATGCTTAATAAAGCTAAAAAATATTACAAACGCATATAAAATCACAATAAACTTGTACGATACAGTACAATACAATACACAAACTACTATTGCTAAGGAGTTGAAAATCACATTCACATTAGAGTCATAACTATGGAAAGAATATTTTTATATTTGGTGGAGCTGCTCATATATCATTTGCATACATTTTTGTATGTATTGTGCAGTTTCCCAGCCAGTCCGACTCGAGTAGTGATTGGTTTGCTATTCATTACATCTTGCAGCCTTTCAAACATGCATCAATTGTTGTCCATGTATATTCCTAATTGCTCAGTGTAAACTGCAATTTCTTTCTGGCTGGTATAAATATATTAAGTAATATGTTTTTGTACTGAAAAGACGATGCACAAATATCTTTTTTAATTAAATTTAACAGCTAATGGGAGCATATATGCTACAATCTCTGCTTACTTTTCACTAAATGTTTTTCTTTTTTTTCAGGTGCAGAGTCAGAATTTTTTTCTCAGAAAGCAAAGCCACTGAATCTGCATATATTACAAAAGCATACTATTCGCTGCATGTCTGACAATTGTATAAAGTTTTGCAGGTCGTCTTTTTTTTTTTCTTTGAGAAGTGCTGTCAACCAAAGCATAAAAGTTCAATTGCACGCGATTTGTTAATATTAATGTATGATAATAAAAACTTGCTATTTTTTTTCTGGATTCTTGCACTTTATTTGTATGAGAAGTACTCTTGTCCTTATTTAGGGCCACAAACTACATGTAGATCTGTACATGAAGTACATGGGAAGTAAAGTTGTTGACACAGGTAATGTACACCAAGGATCATTGCAGTTTCTCAGTTCCTCATCTGGTGCTAGTACTTGTATGACAAACGGTATCTTTGCCCTGTTACTGTTTAAAATATCAGAAGTTTTTCGCTGGAACAGTTCTGTGATTGACAGTGTTCTTGTATTAGGAATACAGTTGTACAAGGAAGTTTATCCAAACAGACACAACACTGACTCTTCAACATATTTGCAGATCTGATTTGCATACTTGCATGTCATTTTACCTCTTGTACTTGTTTGTTGCTCTCTGGTGTTCTTGCTGAGACCAGGATGGAGAGTGCTATAAACTTGAAAATGCCATAGAAATCATGTCTGGACAAATTATATGTTGCAACTTTCAAATGACAACAAGTGAAGGCAGTGTCATTCATGACCTGTTTGATTGGATAAATTTTTACGACTTGGAGGCCATTTTTTTCCTCAAAAATTAAAAAAAAAACAAGCTTTTTCTAGCTGTTAACAGCTTTTTCTCAGATATGTGTCATCCAGTTTTGTTCAAAGTTGGCACAGGGACAGGTAATAATTGTTTACAAGTGCACATCACATTATATGTTTAACAAGTTATAAATTGTCTCAGAAAAGCCAAATGAATAAATTTTTACCCAACCCCCCTAAAATTGTAACACATCAATTCTGAACAATTAATAACAAAATTTTAATACAGCTCACAATGAATTAATTCACTCTGACACAAACCCAGTTCCATACAAGTTTTTTGAGTGGGGGCTATGACATGACATGTCTTGTTTCAGATGTGTTTATACCATAAACCATTCAGTCTCTGTATATATCTTGTGTCTGTTTGTTCAGATGCAGTCTGTGCATGTATGCATTGATCCATGCCTGGACACATCACATTCATACTTCACACCAATCTGATTAAAATCTGATGTAGTGTACAGGCTTTAATTATTTTGGCTATTAACTTATTTTAATTTTATTTTTTATTACTTTAATTATTAATGCCTTTTTATTTTATTATTTTACTTGATTTGATTTTGTGATTTTTTTAATTCCGCCCTACATACATCTGAACCGACGCCTGTGTAAGTCCCGTTCAAATCTCGCGTAAGTAACAGCCAATCACAGCCCCCCTTTTATTCAGGCTGTTGGTTGCTTACTTTCCAGTGTAGCGATACTCTACGGGCAATCTTTCTGTACATTATATTTTGCCCACTTGAATAAACCATTAATAGAATTGCTAGTAATTTTTTATTTACAAAAGAAATTCCACAGCATTTTCAAATTTTTGTCATTACATTGAATATTTTTTTCACTTCCAACAAATGTGTACACTTCCTGATACATCTTCGCCAGCCAAGGATCGTTTATTCGGTCATCGCTTCAATTTTACATCAAACACTGAGCATAATTATCTAGAACGGAAGCAAAAAAATAAGTAAATCATAATTAGAACACTGTAGACAGTTATAGTAAACAATGCAAACTGATTTTAAATTGTATAACGGTCAAAAAAATATTTCCTGATCAATGATTTTCCAATGATTTTCCAAGTAAAAAATATTTTATTCCAGTCCAAATCAGCTCAATTACTTTAATAAAGAGTTATTGAATAATGTACAAAATGTTGATACATTTTGATGAATATTTACAGCGACTGATGTTCGATCGAACCGGTGGAAACAAAATCGTCACTCCCAGAATAACTACGCAAAATACCGATGTAAACTTAAACCATTCGCGCCACAATATACACATAAAAAAATGACTTTCGTTGCATTTGACAATGATAAACTTACCGAAAAGCCGTGTTTTTCTTGATCGCTAACGTCAATATAATCCGCCATTTTATTTGAGTGTGTTTGTTACCTGACTCTGTCCGGTGACGTCATCATGTGCACTATAGAAGGAGGTCTGTGATTCGTTGACTAAAATCGTTGATAGTGGGTCTCGTTGAAATCTCGTAACATAGGCATCCGGTCAGATGTATGTAGGGCGGAATTAAAAAATCACAAAATCAAATAAAAATAATAAAATAAAAAGGCATTAATAACAAAAGTAATAAATAATAAAATTAAAATAAGTTTATAGCCAAAATAATTAAAGCCCCTACATTACATCAGATTTTAATCAGATTGACTTCACACATGCATCATACATCTTGGGATACATATACATGTCTATTCATTTCAGTATCTGATTCACGATGGCTGATAGACGGCCATTTTCAGGGCAAAAATTCATGAAAATCAATCAATTCTGCCATTCCAGAGCCAGATCTCAGCTATACATGGACAGCTTTTATATTATTATAAGCTTTATAAACATATGTATATACAACAGGACCTAAAACGTGTCAGCACTCAATTTAAAACATGTCAGCACTCAATTTGAAACATGCCATACTCAATTTAAAACATGCCGCACTCAATTTATAACATGTCAGCACTCAATTTGAAACATGCCAGCACTCAATTTAATACATGTCAGCACTCAATTTAAAACATGTCAAAAACTCAATTTAAAACTGCACTCAATTTAAAACATGTCAGAACTCAATTTAAACATGACAGCACTCAATTTGAAACATGTCAGAACTCAATTTAAAACATGACAGCACTCAATTTATAACATGTCAGCACTCAATTTAAAACATGACAGAACTCAATTTAAAACATGACAGCACTCAATTTAAAACATGTCAGAACTCAATTTAATACATGACAGCACTCAATTTGAAACATGTCAGAACTTAATTTGAAACATGTCAGAACTCAATTTAAAACATGTCAGAACTCAATTTAAAACATGTTAGCACTCAATTTAAAACATGTCAGCACTCAATTTAAAACAGCACTCAATGTCAGCACTCAATTTAATACATGTCAGCACTCAATTTAATACATGTCAGCACTCAATTTAAAACATGTCAGCACTCATTTTAAAACATGTCAGCACTCATTTTAAAACATGTCAGCACTCATTTTAAAACATGTCAGCACTCAATTTAAAACATGTCAGCACTCAATCTAAAACATGTCAGAACTCAATTTAAAACAGCACTCAATGTCAGCACTCAATTTAATACATGTCAGCACTCAATTTAAAACATGTCAGAACTCAATTTAAAACATGCCATACTCAATTTAAAACAGCACTCAATTTAAAACATGACAGCACTCAATTTATAACATGTCAGCACTTAATTTAAAACCACTCAATTTAAAACATGTCAGAACTCAATTTAATACATGTCAGCACTAAATTTAATACATGACAGCACTCAATTTAAAACGTGTCAGAACTCAATTTGAAACAGCGGTCAATTTAAAACATGTCAACATTCAATTTAAAACATGTCAGAACTCAATTTAAAACATGTCGGCACTCAATTTAATGTTAAAATTTGTCCATATACAGGGTAAAATGTCATCAATACTGACTTTTTCAATTGCACACTATTGTGCTTCTGCGTCAAATGTAAACAAAGGTTTTTGAGTACACAGCTGAATTTTCTGGACCAATAGGTCATTTTTTTTCCATTATATGTTAGAACTTAACACATCTCTGTCCACTGGAAGTGTGAGATACGAGTTACAACTACAAAGAAGCCATGTGGCAGGTGACAATAATATTATAAACAACATTATTAAAAATGGCTTCAAATATTGTAAAACATGTTGAAAAGGCGACATGCAATTTTTATCGAATTGTGGTAAAATAACGTAATAGCGAAATGTTGATTTAGCGAATCTCTCTTGTAATTGTTAATTTCCTGTTTTCACAATACTTGTCTGTTGCGTGCCAAAACAAATGGGCAGTTATCACCTCGATAAAAACAAAAAAAATCAGTCAAGTGTAATTTGGAAGCACCCCAAATTACTGTATACAAATCCCCAAGCCTTGGCCATTTTGATAATAAAGTCATTAGCGACATCTTGAATTAGAGAATCGGGTCTTTCGCTAAATTTGCTAAAAAGACATGTTTTACAGTAAGTTCATTATGAAATTTATAAACTGTTCTTTATATTAGATTCATATATGTGTTATCAAATATTTATCACAGTACAAGATATCAGGGTTTCTTTCTCAATTTATATTATATTATATTAGATGATTAATTGTCCATGGATCAATTTTTTGTTCATGGTTGAAAGAAACAAACATTGTAAATAATTTATATCATTTCAGTGAGGCAAAGCAAGAAGTGCTTGTGGAGAAAGTTGCAGGGACTGCTGTCCAAAGTAGAAATGACAAGGCATTAAAAAGACTGTCTTACAATGATGAACAAATACACAAGTTTGAGAAGTAAGTCTTTAGTCTAAGTAAGTCAAGCATCCCCCTAATAAAAAAATATTCAAATGTAATTTTTGTTCACCATGTGGCAGATTTGGGGAATTATTAGTCCCCGTTTGGACGAAGTCCGAAAATGGGGACTTGTAATTCGGTCTCTGTCCATCCGTGTGTCCGTGCGTCCGTCCGGAGTCATATCTCATGATACCTTGGGCCGATTCCGTTCATTCTTTGCATGTGCCTAGTACTTTATATGGGACATATGCACATGCAGTGGTTTAGCGATTTGATTCAAAATGGCCGACTGGTAGCTATCTTGTTTTTAGCTCCGCTGTCGACTTTGTCGAGCGGAGCTTATCATATGAGTGATTGTCCGTCGTCGTCGTCGTCCGTGTCAATGTTTTACTTTTTCGACTTCTTCTTGAAAACTACAAGCCTGAATGCTTTGATACTTGGTGTATATGTACCTTGGGTAGA